GACGAAACATTCTTCCTACTCCTGAAAAAAAGCTGTATAATGTCTCATCTTGGAACGGAGACCAGGAGATCTCGCAGGCTGGCCCCAGGTAGAAGGGAAAGAAAATGTAATTAGATGGGGAAGGGTAGTATTTGCTGCAGTCATGGGGGACACATGGATTTTGCTTTTGCAATGTGTCATGCAAGGACTAGATGGAGAGACCCTGGATAAAAGAAAAAAGTCTGCAGAGAAAAGGGAGTAGAAAGTACCCGTGGCCACCACACCTCTGTGAATCAGGCCCATTATTCCAGCATACGTCTGCTTCTAGAAGTATTTCGGAAACTACTGGCATCTTCCTGTGCTGATGGCTCACAGAGAGCTATAACATGCTACTGCTGCCGCCGTTTGCAGCAACACTGCCGCCAGCAAACACGGCAACAGACATCAGTGATGTGAACCCACACTTCCAGATTTGCCACAATGTTCACAGGGAAATGCATTCACACGACTGGATTTCCCCCTCACACTCCCTTGCCAGTTTTGCTGCTTTCTGAAGACCATGGAAGACTCATTGATTCCACTCCTCTCCCACTAGGGCTGCAAAAGACAGACAGGAAGCATGAGAGCTAAAGCTGCTGCACAGCCTTATTACCACTCCTCAGGCTGGACTGTTGGCTGATTTTGGCAGGGACCGTTTTTGCCATCGGTGTTTGCTTAGCAGGTCCACACGCTATGACCTTACCTGTTGCAAAAGTGGAGTGCACTCAGCAGATGAGCTGGGGATTCCTGCAAGCCAAAGGGCAGTGCTGGAGAAAGGAAAAAAACCATCTGAAAGTGGCAACTAAACCTAGCGGAGACAGCTGACCCTCACCAGTATATGCATCAGCTTCTCATCCACACAATGAGAACAACGCCACTAGCTTCACCTTATAGCCATTGTCAAAAAAAGAAATGGTTTAGCAAGCAGTCAGATACCATGCTTAAGAGTGCTACACACAAGTAGATGCAAGCCCATAGTCAAAGCAAAATCTGCAGAGTGGACAAGAAGGTGAGAAAGGGATCATACACAGAGCAAGTCACATGAAACAAAGTGTTGAATTTCTGGTCATTAAGTGATGATACTGATCCTGTGCAATGAGGCGAGCAGTGGCCTTCCAAAAGGAAGTACACAACCGTGTATACGGTCACATTAATGGAAGAATATCCAAAAACTTCAGCATTTGAGAATAACGGAGGCAAGATGGAACCAGAGGGAAACAGGAAGGGAACATGAAGAACGTGAAAAACTAGAAAAAGAAAGGCTGGAAGAAATGCATGAGCCAGCATCATTGAGCAGAGAGGAAGGAATATCTGCTCTCGGCACAGGCTGAGGAAAGCAGACTCAGTCCAGAGGTTTAATGCCCAAGCAACCCACATGTCAAGGACATCACAGGACCTCTGGCACCTGCACAGCAGGGCTCTCAAATTCAGTGTACAGAAGATAAATTTAATCACCAAAACAGGCAGTTTCTTAACATCCTCTCTGCCTAAATCTGCCTCTGGGTTTTTATACAGCTACTGTCATCTCATTGTCACTATGGTATGCAACAGTCTCATCTTTATTTTCAGCATGTTTAACCATCTGGATGAGTTCAGTTAATGACTTCCATAATAAGGGTGCTACATGCATAATATGTATTAACCTTAGATTATTAAAAGGAAGCAAGTGAATGGGAGAAACTGAAACAATGAGCTGAAACCACTTTCCAGAGACGAGAACATTAAATGGGAAGATACAAGTTAGAGTCTCCCAGCTCGAAACAGGAGCTCTTTGTTCTAGATCAGGGCCCTAAAGTACGGTTCAAGTCCCAAGAAATAAATGGGAGTGTTTCCATGGCCTTCAGAAGACTCTGGAGG